TAATTGATCTTGAACTCTCCTCGAATTACTCGCGGAACTGCGCAAGCGTCGGCCATGATGAATATTGCCGACGATGGAGGGACTCATCTAACAAAATGTTCACCTGTGCAGTAGTATCGTTTTTGAAGCGGGAAGCTCAAAATAACGCAAATTTCTTACGCAGATTGTGAATTTATGAGTGCATTTCAGACTTTGCCGATGCGCTTATCATGATTTTTGAAACATGATCTGTACGAAACAACTCTTATTTTTGCTCTAGCAAAAGTTTGCAACAGGCCCATTCGTCGGTTCCTCCACGAAAGAACGTTACCACATGTCAATGTTGCCAAAACCCCGCTAGTTGCAATTTGACGAGAAGAATCTTTGAAATTCCTGGCGGAATATTTCACTAATTTTTCCTCTGATCTTATGTAAAAATCAGACAAATTTTTGACGGAAATTCTGAGGGTTTATTTTCGTTAAATAATGAATTCTTTTAGTCAATTTTGCAACCTTGAAATGGAGTTATGTTCCCTCGTGTAGGGAGCGACGAATATTGGACTGGATTTTGCAATTTGGAACCATAAATTCTGCCTCTTCTGGAAAAAAACTTATGTGCTTAGGGAAACAAATGACACATACGTTGTTTTTAAACTGGGTTAGAATGTATATTTCCAAATTACAAAATGTAGTCCAATTGATCCTCTTTTCCTCACTAAACTTCACAAAAATGTCTTTTTTAAGGTTGGAAGGCCTTTGAGGGAGAGGAGGTGTTTATGGAACGACTGAGAATACAACCCTTTGCACTGGAAAAAAAAGTAGCTTGAAACAAATCAAAATCAGCTTGAAGCAAGCTGGAAAAAATCTTAAATTTGCCGCCAAGAAACGTATAGCTTGAAATAAGCATGGCCGTGCTGCTTGAAATTAGCTACCCGGCGGAACCTTTATTATTTTTCGTTTAATGCTCGGATCCAATACTAAATACTGAAAGTTTTATTCATTTTTCATAAAATTCCGTAACGTAGGGATAAAACGTTACTGATTCTTCGACATGGATCATGTTGAAGTCGTCGTGCGTTGCCGCGGGTTTTGTTCTCGGTTTGCAGCACTGTTAAAATGCGCGGCTTTTGGAGATCTCCTGGAATGACTTGAGAATGTAGGAACGTATAACTTGATGCCCGTGTCGAAAATGAGGGCGGAGTGGTTACAATCCAATGGAAACTTAATTCAAGAAGTTGGCTGCAAACTTAATTTAAGTCTAATTTTTTCAGCTATTTCCAAGATTCGTGTCATGCTTGAAACCAGGAATCTTGAATTGAGTATACATTATCTTGAATCAAGAAACAACTTCTTAGAATTAGCAGCCATGGTGGCTTGATGTAAGACTCAGCAGGTTTGACTCAAGATTGTTGTGCTGCTTAAATCAAGCTAGCAGGTGATCCAAGCTATAAGGTAGCTGCAATTAAGAATCTCGAATCTTAAATTTAGCAATAAATCGCTTGTTTTAAGATAAAAATTCTTGAATCAAGCTGATTTTTTCTCAAGATTCCGAGACGGCTTGACCGTAGCAGACTTTTTTTTCCAGTGTGGGTAGAACCTAGTCCATGTTAGATTTTTTTGTCGAAAGTTTTGGTTTGATCTGTGGAGTTTGACCCGTAAACTGGCTATTGTTGTAATTTGCAGGCAGGAGAATCTGTCTGGGCTCGGAGTCGGAGGTTGGGGAGGAATTATTCGGAGACGTAATCGTGGTCCAAGATTCGGCCAAGTTCCGTTGCAAGAAGTGCTCCAAGTTGTACTTTCATCTGAGCTCCTTGCAAAGGCACGTCAAATACGAGTGCGGGGTCTGCCGACAGTTCGAGTGCCATCTTTGCGGTTACGTCGCCACAAGGAAAGATATCTTGAAGAGACATCGCCTCTTGAAACACTCGTCCAGACCCGCCAATTTTTGCCCCGACGACGCTGTCTCCGATATAGATTCAAAGGGATGCGTTTAGCCAAAGAGAACCAACTCGACAAAATCAGGGGTGCCGAAGTCAGGGAATACCGGGAACTATCAAGCAAAAATTGGTAACTAACGTTTATTACACTGGAAAACAAAAACACATTGGATCTAGAGTCCAGACTCTTAAAAACATCGACTAGAAAAAATACTCTTGATTCAATCGGATTTAAGCTTAAATCAAAAACCAAGCCTCTTAATTCGAGCGGATTTCCTTTTGATTTAAGCAAAAATCTGATTGAATCAAGAGTATTTTTTCTTGTCAATGTTTTCAAGAGTCTAGACTCTAGATCCAATGTGTTTTTTTTTTTTTTTTTTTTTTTTTTTTTTTTTTTTTTTTTTTTTTTTTTTTTTTCCAGTGTAGCCTTCCAGAATGAGCTCGATGTTTGAATAGCAAATTTTTCATGAGCAACAATTTCAAATTACATATTTTTTAACTATCTCATATTTTCAAATTTCTAGGAATTCTACCATAATGTGTCCATGAAATCAGGAAATTGTCAGGGGATTTCCCTTCCTAAATTCTGCGGCAACCCTGATTTATTTGAGACAAGATCATGACTGACTTGGTGCACTGGCGTGGCGTGTTTTGCGATAAATCGATTGATGTGCCATTTAAACCCATGGAAATGGATCGATGAACAGGGTGTTCGCAACGAATACCGTAATAATCGATTCCTTACCATAGCTTCAATGGGGAAATATCGATAATCGATCATTCACGCCTCGCCATTGATTTGGTGGTCACCGCATGACGGCGACTTTCCGAGTTTCCGCTTCTCGATTTCCGATTATTGCAATAAATCAAGTCCAAATTCTGAATAGAGTTTATCGTGTCAGATCGTTAAGATTTTGTTATCAACAAATCATGGAGCAATAAATTACTCATCAAACACGAAAAATTCCATCGCAAGAAACACATAAACGTATTCCATCAACCTGACGTGAATTCGGCGGGGTTCTGCATCCGTTTATTTCTTACACGGGAACCACCAAACAGCGATGTACATCGACATTGGCGAATCTAGCAAGTTGACATCACTGTTCTCCTTCCGTTTACACCTCTGATGAAGAGTCGATTTTTGGGAGGGCCGGTTACTCCATCAAGAACTGATTCTTTACCATAGGTTTAAATGCAGAGAAGATAGTTTGCTATCTTTTTCGGTCCGCCTCCGTACATTGAATGACGTGCTAGTAAGTCAGTCAGGGTGACTAACAATCTGAAAAACCTGATTCTCTTTCGCTAAATGTAACTTTGATCTTGCAGGGTCGTGAATGTCGTAGCAACCATACAAAACTTGAAAACTATTAGGAAATTTTATGAATTAGAAATTGGAACGAAAAATCACGGAGTAACCATGCTTTGACGTTTTAACTTACAAAAATATACGTTCGATAAATGACGTGTTATACATTACCATGTGTGATGTAGGTTTAGCTTAGCGACCCTCGATCCATCACACAACTTGACACGCAATTTTTCCAATCTTTGCATTTAGACATCTCGCTGTTAACCAAGCATTCACCAATTCAATTATTTTAACACCTTCGTCTTTCTTTGTATCGTACTCTATTGTGATTATCTAGTAACGTATGTTTGCTAAAACTCTGAAATTTCTGTGCGTATTTTTTAATCCTTCTTTCTTTGTCTCTTGCGACTGCTTGTATCTTATCTTTTCTCTTAGCGTCTTTGCACGCGCTCTAAATTAAACTGTGATAGCTCTTTTCTAATCCGGTGGTTTTTATTCTCTACTCCTTCCCATTCTCTTGTCTTTTTTTTCAACTTTTGGTATCTGTATTTTATATTTCTTCCATCCGATGGTGATTTGAAATTCATGGATCCGACACAGGTGCTTCTTTATTTGGTGATTTCTTCATTTATTACTTTATCTACTTATTTCATTCATTTTTACTTGGGGTTCGCCCCTTGGCTGCTCCGCGGTCCAACTCTTCAAGTTTTGTGTTACTTACAGCCTGATGAGAATTATCGATAGTTAGAAGAAATTTAATTCAGCGAAAAAATTGAAATCACAATAGCATGTTTATGGAAGAGGTGTGAACAATAGGTCTGCACTTTCCAGTGAGGAACTATTATTTTAAGATCACTTCATATCCAACGAAATAGTAACGGAATAAGTAATATCCCGGTCTTTCTTTCTTTCTTTTAAAAATTAATTCAAGTGACTCGATTTTCAGTTAAAATTTATTTCGTTATTTTCCATTACCTCCTTTGGCATTGGAATCACTCGAGAATATTCCGTACATCTTCCTCTAGGCTCCTCATCGAACAGAAAAAAAGTATTCAAAACAAAATTACGCTGTTTAAAGCAACTGAGATGCCTTTCTGGAAGACATTCTCGGCATTTGAATTATTCCCGGAGCGCAAAACAATGCGGAAGAATAATCGAAGTTGGGTTCGAGCCTAACATACAACTATTTGAACTCCGCAGTTGGCCGGGTTGCATACGCCCGAGGAAAACACTGATCGCACCTGAACCCTATCGCCAGCGCGCGTGGGCCGTGGGCAGATCTCAGATTTCGCCCGCAAAATCTAGCGTATGCAACCCGGCCCACCGCAGAGTTAAAATAGTTGCATGTCAAGTCCGAACCCAACTCCGTATATTCTTCCTTTGTTCTTCGCGTTATTTAAAGCGCTCCGTTAATGTTCAAAAGGCTCAGATTTCATCGAAATGATATTCATCTATTAATATTCTTGGTTCATTCACCTGGGCCGCAATCTGACAAAAGGTCACGTGGCATGAGGCAGCTACAAATTGAATCAGACATGTTTAAAAAACACATTTTCTTCGACAATAATTCATTTCTCTTTTGATCAAAGCAACTTTGTAGAGCGCAGCAAATCCTGCAAATCGTCTATGGAACTGCAAAGAAAACACGTTTTCTCTAATTAAAAAAGGAGGTTTTTAAAGCATTGATTAGAGAATAGTGGTGGGCTCATATGACTAAACTTGATCTGCCACCTCAAGTAATAGCCATGCTTTAACCTTGTTGATGATCTGAGAGGGAACTTCCGGCTCAGTAATCAACAGTGGCGATTCTTAAAAGTTGGCAACACTGTTTTTCCTCCATTTAAATGTATTTAATACAATAGATTCTTGGTGAGATAGCTTGCCTCACCAAGAATCGATATCTTTAATGGATTTAAATTGAGGAAAAACAGTGTTGCCAACTTTTAAGAATCGCCACTGCACTCACACTTTGAAGAGCCAACGGGAACTGCCCTTATTTAGGCCTCTGCGGGCTGATTATTGAAATTAATAGATAAAGCGATGGATAAGGAAGACAAACTGAAAATAAAGCGATCCCGTCGATAGAAGCGAGTGGTTGCAATTGGCAAAGAAGGTAAGTGATTAAAACCATCCCACGAGAGACCCTGTCGTTAGTCCAACATTTTCTCCCTCAGTCTGTAACAAACACCTGCTTCAACCAAGAGGATAGCTTCTTTTCCCCTTTGTCTTTTTTGTCTATAACTTTGTCTATCAGTTTCAATAATCACCCGGCAGGAGATATGGATCCCTTGCTACAAGCGAAATTAATGGAAGGTTTTCTGTTCCGATGGCGACTTTAGAAATGGCGCTGTACTTTTCGGAGGAGAAGTCGTTCTTGGAGAAGCTGAACGAGCATCGCGTCGTGATCGACGACCGGCCGTTCTTCAAGTGCTTCAAGTGCAACAAATGCTACTCGTCCAAGTACACCCTGGCCAGGCACATCAACTACGAGTGCGGCCTCCCGCCTTGCTTTCAATGTCCCAAATGCCCCTACCGCTCCAAACGGAAAGACCACATGAAGTCGCACATGAACGGCGTTCATAGGTCCGATCTCAGCACCAGCAGCGCTTATGCTTTCGACTCTCTCAACGCCTTTTGAACCTGATTACTCACCTACTGAAAAAAAATATCAGAAACTTGCCTGCTCTCTTTGAAATCAATTAAAATGATCGCAAAATGTTTAAACAGCGCACACTGGAAAAAAAACACATTGTATCTAGAGTCCAGACTCTTACGAACATCGACAAGAAAAAGGACTCTTGATTCAATCAGAATCTAGCTTAAATCAAGAACCAAGCCTCTTAATTTTAGCGGATTTCGTTTTGATTCAAGCAAAAATCCGATTGAATCAAGAGTATTTTTTCTTGCCAATGTTTTCAAGAGTCTGGACTCTAGATCCCATGTGTTTTTTTCCAGTGCAATGGAGATTTCAGGTTCTGATACTGGTCACTTCAATTGTGATTTCTGGCCTTAAAATGGGGTTGTAAGTAAGGAGAGGAGGGCTCTTCTTCTTTTTTTCAATTATTCTTTTTTCCTTTGTCTTTTTGATTGTCATATTCTAGTCATTTTGATCAAAATGTAAAGGCAGTAAAATCCTTAATTTTATTTCTTTTACCAACAATCGTCATATTAAGCCCGATTATAATGGCGATATTTTTCGGTCTGTTGTTTCTTCATGACCTTCAATGAAATCGGGCATTTCTTAAACTTTTAATTTACTCTTATTTGATGATGAAAAATTTTACGCCGAAAAATCCCGACCCAAAAAATGAGCGTGGAACGCATCTCCTCATTTCTACTTTTGATACCATGGTCCACGTCACTTTCATTCTTTAGCCTCAAAATGTTTTCTCATCCATAATATAGTCAAAGATTTGGTGATGGGTCCTTATAATCGGTAATGGTCACTCAGCTACCAATGTAAAACATTTTTCCTTTCTCCTGTTTATGGTTGTTTTTTCTACTCATGTGCTTAGGTCTGCAGCTTTCACACTGATTGTAATTTTTTGTTACTCAACTATTGTTACTTCGTCAAATCCGATGGTGTTGATAATGATGATAGTTTATTGTAGATATTCTCAATTTTTATAATTTTAATAAATTTTATTCTACATTTTTTACCCTGATCAATCTATCCATCCTCTTGGCTGCACGGTAGAATTTCTTATATCCAGACCACCTTGAAATCTAATTTTTTGAACTCATGAAGTCACTATGAGATCATTTTTTTATCTCTTTTCCATCCTTGTTTCCTCTTAATTTTTATCTCATTTTCAAACGCGCGAGACATCGTTAACGTCGGGAGTGAATCGATTCTCGAAGGGGTCAGGTGCTCTGACGAGAATCGATTCAATACAAATTTAAATGGGGAGAAAAGCAATGTTGCCTACGTTCTGAATCCACCGATGTCCCTCTATACAAAAAAATTAAACAAGAGAGGAAATTAGGCAATATTGTCAAGCTGATTCTAGTTAAATGTGTCTACCTGGACTTCACATCGCATTAAGAAACCACAACCTCCGGCTCATAAATAAGAACACCTAACTGAATAGAGAAATTAAAGGCATGTATATGTTGTTTTTAAAACGAGCCATGAAATTTTGCAGAGTGTCTAGCATCAGGATTTTCCCGATTCTATCAGGATTCGAGGTCAATCAGGATTTAATCCCGATTTTTTCAGGATTTGAAGAAAAATCGGTCGTAAAATCAGAATTTGAGAAAAGTCGGCCGTCCGGTCAGTTTTTTTTATCGAGCCACTTTAGTGAAGTCCGCGAAAAATCAGGATTTAATCAGAATTTCATCAGGATTTTCCAAAATGAAAAAAAAAAAAAAAAAAAAAAAAAAAAAAAAACTACAGACACCCTGTTTTGGCTCCTAACTGCAAAATGGGGTCCGATTATGTTCTAAATGTCTCCATTTTTTCATGTTACCACGCATGTAGGCGCACGCAGGGGTATCATCTGTATAATTACATGGAAGCATAAGTTAATTTGATTATTCTCCTCTCTAATTCTGATTGATTTCGTTTGATGTACGTAGGTGACCAGAAACAGGGACCTTACCCTTGCCCTCGGTGCGGAAGAGTCTACCAAGTATCATCGTCGTTAAAGCGTCATCTCACATATGAGTGTGGCCAACCACCCAAGTTTCTATGCTCACTTTGCGAATATCGCGCTAAGTACAGGACGCAGTTGATACAGCATTTTTCAGCCAAACATGGCTGAACGAAACCATTGAGAAGTTACTAAAGCGAACGCGACGTCATACCACCCGACAAAGATGAAATCCCTTCAACTTATTTTTGATGGGTCAGTTTCGGAGGCCACTCAATCGTCTTTCGATGTTTGAAACTTAGTAATTACTCTGTATCACTGAAAAAATTGTCAGATAAAAACAATTAGTTTAAAGGAAAGTTTCCCTGATTCGAAGAAAGTTTTAATAGTTTTTCTTCTTCTTCCATTAAATGAGTTTACTGTCATTCATGCAATAGTTGTTTTGTCATAGCTGACGAACTGTATCTTTTTATCAGAGAATTTCCGTCAGTAAAAATAAAAATTTCCTCACATATAAGGAGCTTCTGAAGAAAGGGTAAAACTCATTTTGGAAAACCAACAAGATGTTTCTCTGCTTTTGTATTTACTTCAATTTTTTAAAAAAATGTTGACTAATCAAGAGTAGGATCGGCGCGAAAGTCACCATTAAACGTCTAGGTCCATGCAATACAGGTTTTAAAATTACTTAACTTTAACCCTGCCTTTTCTCGTACTTAAAAGTTTAAATTAAAAAAATCGACCTAATATACCTTTAATATTTGTTCAACTTCCTCATAAGCGTGCAGAAAAACCATTTTTTAAACCATAGATGACTACCATAGAAAAACAATTCTTCGGCCAGCGAAACTGACCCTCCGCAGATAAGTCCAGAACGCAAATGCGCAAATTCTTCCAAAAAGCGCGACTTCAAGTCAATCTTCCATGGGCGTACTTTTACCCAAAATTCTCCCCAAATTCCTCCGAAAGCTCATAGTCCCTAAAAAAAGTGATTTGAAGTTTATTTCGTAGTGAGCTATACGATCAAATTTTCATTTGAATTAGAAATCTAATTTAACCTATAATTACACCCCCTCCACGTAATGTAGGCGTATGCAATCAAACGAAGGTAATCCCCCTTTATTCACCCTTGTGAATGAATCGTAACGGCTTTACGTAATAGTTATGAGATAATAGCGTGTTTGTTCAACTCTCTAACTCTACTCTGATCACCAATTCTTAGTAAAGCTCATCTGATTCGTTAATCTGGTATATGCCACTTTCCACATTTACCGAGTCTTAATTTCCTCCTCTCGTTGAACTTATTTTCCTTAACTTTTTTAAACTTTTTTTCAAGTTTCCTTTCCTTTCTTACTCTTTAAAACTTTCCACTTCCAGTTACCTCAGTAAAAACCTTGTATTGCTCTATTGATCTAACGAACGTTAGTGAATGTGTTTAGGTATTATCCATCATTTTTTAAAAATCCATTTTGTTATGTATAGCTATTTAGTTTCCTCTTTTATTCTCTATTTATCAATTTCAGTTCATTTAAAGCAGTAAATACCTTTTTTTCTATTCTGTTGCATGGCTACACTCGATGTATACTTTTCTTCTCATATTCTACCTGTGCAAATGAGCAGCAAATTTAAAACATTTTCCAAAGCTTTTGACATTTCTTGGCACTCTTTTGAATCCAACAGAAAGTTTTTTTGACATGAAATACAAGTAATCAGAGCTAATTAACTTTTCTTCAAGAAACAGCAACAAATTGTAAAGTAAGGTTTACTATTGAAGTCCCTTTTAAGTTGTTTTTTTGAACCTGATCTTTCTTTCCGATCAAGTTATCTCTAATCGTTTGCTTTTGTTCTTATAGGATTTCAAATTATTTACTTACTTATCAAACGATTTCTGAAATGCGTGCACGCACTATTTTTCATGATAAACCACCCATCTTTTTTCCTGAGAATTTTAAAGTAGACTATCGTCAATCATACTCCCTTTTCTAATTCTTCCTTTTTGGCTTCAGCTTATTAGTTTTATTTTGTTCATGCTATTGCCTTTCAGGCATCTTACTGCTAAGTTTTTTTTTAATTCTGAAGAAAGGCGCATGGATTTTTTTTCCATTCTACATACTCTTCATATTTTGGATTTATCAGTTTAAATATCTTCTACTTAATCAAGTTAGTATACTACTCATCGGCATGCAAACAGCGCATAGTTTTTGTACTTATTGAAGTGAAGAGCTTTCAAGTTGCCTAAGGCCCCCTTTGAACTTTTTATTTTCAAGAGAATCTGTCTTAATTTTGAACTCTACTTTATCCATATTATATAATAATTTTGTTTTGTTTAAGTTTTCTAATATATTTCTGTTTTCTTGAAAACCGCTCGTGCTTTTACTTTCTGATACGAAGTGCTTATTCTCCTTTTACTTTTAATTTAAAGTTTTTCTTTTTATTTCCGTTACCTCTTTCAAGTTCCTTAAGTCGTTTTTACTATATATTTCGAGCTTCTCTTTTAGCCGAGAGAGGTTGAGTGAAAATTCCTCCGACAGTGCCGAGTTATTCAATAATTTAACTATAAATGCATTCGTTCTCTGGAACCATCAATCAACAAACTCTATAAGCCTCCAAAGTGGTAAAGTTAAGTTTTAAGGAATTTTGGCAATTTTCAATGCATTTCTTCATTTAAACTGTTCCATTTAATTCCATTTTTGCCAGGTTTTCCTCTTTGACTTTCCGCAGTGATCATAGAAATACTATACTTTACACCACGAATAGGTATGCTTTGGTTCTTTTTAGTAGCATCGGTATCCACATTCAATCGAGATAAAAATATTCCTGTCTAACTCTCTATTAGAAAAATAGTATTATTTTTTCTCCACGGTTCAAAACAGAACAGATATATGAAGCAACTGGTAGTTGGCCAATTTTTCACCCGCACATCAGTAAAAGATTATCAATTATCTTCGCTAATTTGACTAATCAGCTTAATTACACTTTACACTGCCCTCTTGTCTCTCGCTTTTATTTCTGAAGCCAAATACTCAGGAACATAATCCCTTGATACTGTCTTTAAATTTCCTCTGCATTTAAATAA